CGGACCCCCAGCCCACCCCCCTGCCACTGCAGGTGCTGCAGAGCCGCGGCTACGGGAAGCTGGTGCTGCAGGTCGGGCGGGGCGCGCTGAAGCCGGTGCTGGGCAGCAGCCCGGCCTTCGCGGTGGAAGTCTTCCGCTTCAAGGACTCGCTGGCCGAGGACCTGCGGAAGGCGGACCTGGTCATCAGCCACGCAGGTAGAGCCCCGTTTGTTTGCTGAGCCTGTACTCCTGGGGGCAGGAGTGGAAGTCGGTTGGGTGAAGTCTGTCTCTCTACGGCTCGGGCTGGGCTAGCGTTGAACGTTCAGGTCCACAGCTAAAGCTGGATGGTTAAATGTTCACCTTCAGGAGTCTCCCGTGTTTCAAGAGCAAGTAGGATGGTACTTCATCTGTCAGGGCAAAAACTCCTCGTGTTTTCTGTTTCTCCTGTAGGTGCAGGTAGCTGCCTGGAGACTCTAGAAGAAGGAAAACCACTAATAGTAGTAACAAACGAAAAGCTGATGAACAACCATCAGCTTGAACTGGCACAACAGCTCCACAGAGATGGGCACGTCCTCTGCTGTAATTGCAGGTATGGAGCTGCTGTGGCTGTCCTGTTAGTGACATGCCACTAACAAGCAGTGTTCAGCACCCTCACTGTGTTACTACAGTATTGAGAATGTAACAACAAAACTTACATCCTCCTCTGTAACGACCATTTGTTTGCAAGGTAGATTTTTCACAGTGGATAGATTAACATTAGGTGCTAGTTTACCAAACTTACCAAGCCTTTTGACCATGACTCCTTTTAATGTTTTTCTTTTTTTTGAGGGCACATGTATTCAGACTGGAAGAAGAGCAATTTAAACCAAATAGAAGTGGTTGAATTTGAAACAGTAAGGTAGCATCCCAGAGACACCTAACAGCTTCTCTCTTTCTCTGCTCTTTCTCACTAGTTGTTTGATTCTTTTTTGAAGTCTAGAAATAATGCAGCCCAGACCAACAGTTTGTAACCATGAGCCATAAGGAATAAATTGCTCCCTGCAGACTTAGGACTCCATTTCATCATTTTGCTATGTGGATTTTCCTTGTAAAGGGCACTAAAGTTGACTGTGTAGATGTACTGACATAACAAAATTGAAAGTATCTGGAGTATTTAGAACAAAACATAAGAATGGCCTTGCTGATACGGATCAGGAGTCCATGTCGCTCAATATCCTATTTGCAGTGGCCATACGCAGATGCCCAGCCAAAAGTAGAAACGGGGCAAGAACATATGGTACTTCCTTGTATTACTTTCCCTCTAATGCTCCTGAGTACTTTCACTCAGGGGGATTCCTAAATGAGAGACTGTCTGGTAGTAACTTCCAATACCTCTGCCTTCCAAGTGCTTATTCAGCAGCCTTTTAACCGAACTTCCTGAACCCACCACATCCTCCGACAAGGAGTTTCACAGATCTACTGCCTGTCACTTCAGGGGGGAAAAAACCCCACCAAATAAACACACACGCACACACCCAAAAACAACAACAACAAAAACAGCTCCTTTTGTTTGTGTTCATCCTGGCTCCTGTTAGTTTCATTTGCTGTCTTGTTTTGACTATATCTTACTGTTTTCTCTTTATTTATGATTATTTATGGTTGATTGCGCTCTATGAATAACAGATGACCTCTAAATTGAAGGCAGAGGAAATGCAACTCCCATTATTTAGTCTGCGTCTTGTTCCTTTGCCCTGCAAATAGGATTTCGTATGTTTCAGAAGAGCCTTCTGAAAAGACTAGGCCTGTCATTCATTTATGTTGGGCAAGTTTCTTTAAACTTACCATCTCAGGGCTTCTGACAGCTTCGGAGACAGGAGGGAATTTTTATTTCTTTTTGTTGAACAGTGCCTAGCATTTGAGCCTTATTTGCAGTCTGATAATAGCAAGCTAACAGATTGATTTAGCTGTTCGTTCTGGCTATGTGTTAAGTGCAGAACTATGCCATGTGTTCAAACAGGATGAATTTCCTGGTACGGTTTATGGCGAAGATCCTCAGATCTTGTTCAGTCTCCCAGCGTTGCAACCACAGAAGATTAAACAGTTAAGAGCTGAGGTGGTCTGAAAGCTGTGGTATAGGTCAAAGCATGTTCTCGGCAATGCTGCCTACAAGCCGGTGGTGGTTGGGGCCCGCTGGTTTGTGGGGTCTCTTCTTCCTTTCAATACCTGTCCTTATTTTTGTTTCCGTGCTAAAGGGTTATGTATGTATGAATAGAAAGAAAATTGGGTGAAGAAAAAATTTCCCTTTGGGATGGATTTTTTTTTTTTTTTAAATTTTTTGTTTTGGTCTGTTTTTACAGCACTCTTGTGGAGACACTGCGGTCGATGGACTTGTCAACTTTGAAACCTTTTCCTCCTGGACAGCCAGAAAAGTTTGCTTTGTTCTTGGATAAAGTTGTTGGGTTTCAATAAACAATACAGAGGAATAAAAATGTCAGAATAAAACCTTTCTCCTCTCCTAGTGAGGCCTTCCATACTTCAGAGTCCACCAACTGGGACAAACCCTCAAGAAGATGACTTAATATTAACTGACACTAAACAGTTTCCTATTTAGTGCCAGTTTAAAGTCATCTAGCTTTATGCTTAAAAGAGCACAGTGCCAACGGGGGGGGGGGAGTATGAACTGTCTGGTTTCTCAGACAGACAGATATTTACATCACAAAATCTTCACTGAGTTGGTAATTCCAGTGAGGAGGAGAAGCTAAATTACTTTTTAACAGGCATGGCGTATACATAGTGGTCTCTTGACCATATTTGCCTAGTGCTAGTGGAAATAAGTTGTCCTTGTTGATGTTCCTGTGATGTTCCGCAAATAAGCGGATGCCTTCAGCTCTCATTTCATGTGTGTACAGAAACAGTTTGTTTTCAGTGTGTTCACTGAAAAGGGAATTTTAAAAGTGAGACATTTAAGCCCCTTTAAAGAGAAAGGAGCATATGGTGAATCTGGGTGGGAAAAGTCAAGAGCTGCAAACCTGTCAAACTGTCCACCAACTGACTTGCCTGGTTTTGGGTGATTTGCTCCCAAAGTAAAACATGGCCTATAGGAGAGGAAGGGGGTTGACAATACAATCGATCCATTTACACAGTGTTATCCCATCATTACTTAGTTTGGACTTCCATAAAGTGCGGTGTGTCCTGTTTGATGCTGATTGGAGCTCCCCATTTAAAGTATTGAAACTGTCCACTGTGTTGATGCCACCGTCAATTTGTTTAAGTAAATATTTTGAAAAACAAAGGGGGTTTAAACTTTAAAATGTTCATGCAGGCTATTTGGGCTGTAATACTCTAGAATTGTGGAAGTGCATAGCTGGTGCTAATTGCCCTTCCTGCATTATTTGCTTGGGGGTTTTTTTGTTGCTGTTGCTTAAAACAAGAAGAAGAAACTCCTGAACGGGTGCATCTGATGTCCGAGTGCAATTGTTACTAGCAGGTTAAATGTACGTAGAGGCGTTCTCCTAATCAAATCGAGCACAAGGGCTATGCATGGAATAAATCACGCTGCAGCTGTGCGAGAGTGTTTTTTGCCGATCCCCCAAGTTTTCCCCAAAGAATTTATTAGGAGCAACTAAGATTTTCACTTCCTTAACGATTTTTGTAGAGCTGTTCTTATTTCAAGTTCACCGCTAGCAGCTCATCTCCAGTCCGAGAGCACGCAGGAATGTCACAGGAAATGCTGAATAACCATTTGACCGATTTTCCCACTAGTTATTTGCAGTCACAGGCACATCAAGCAATGAAGTTGGAAGGAGTTAGCTTAGCGAGGGCTTCCCTGCTCTTCCCGAGGCAGGTCCGGGAGGAGGCGACGTCCGCTGGGGCTTACCGCGGTTTGGCGTGCACACCCACGCCGAGAGCTGGGGGGGGCGGGAGGAAAACGACCCTACCGCGCTCGGACAGCCCCTGCAGCCGTTAAGCGGGAGAGCGGGACAGGTATTTGGGGCTCTTCGCGGGCATCTTAAAATGGCTCCTGCAGGAGGCACCTCCGGCGGGCGGTCCGCGGGCTCACCGGGAGG